GCATGTATGTTGAATTTCATGCCTGTATTGGACCGTGTCCATGTGATCGGTAGCAGATATGTTATGCCTAGTGTTGTGTGGCAGGTGGCAGCACACATTGGCAGTGAACACCATGAAGTGAACTTCACACCTGAGGAGGGGATCTGTGCGCTGGAGGAAGTCATCGTTCACTTGGAGAGTTATGATATTACCACTGTGCGTGCCTCTGTCGGTGAGTACACGTTCATCAAACTAAATGGAAAAAAAAATTGTGGCATTTAAACTAGTGGTGTCAAAATTAGCGCGTTAACGCAGGTGATTAATTTCAGTTTAACGCGTTAAAAATATTTAATGCAATTAACGCAGGGGCAGGAATAGGTTTGGCCACCCCACTCACAACAGCTAAAGAATTGCGTTTATTTGAGACGCAGAACGTCTTTACGACCACATAAAACGGGAGACTTTTCAGACTCGCACTCCAACTTCACTTCGGCACCAGGCTTGCTGAAGGGCACAGGTAGCAATATGACATTTATTATAATGGGTTTATGTAAAGATTGTTTTAAGTTCACTTAAATTAGAAGTTATTTTTAATGTTAAATTGATAGCTCTCAATTATACTGTAATGTTGAATGGCTATAGTCAATGGTTAAATATTAGGAAAAAAATTAATAGAGACATCAGCTGGTATCAGTGATACTTGCCTTCAGTCATTAAACAAATATTAAAAATATACTTTCATCTTGTTTCTACATCATTTTAAAGATTGAATGTGAAATTATTGCAATATAAAAGTATAATTAAAAACTTTAATGTTAAGTGTGATTAATCGCGATTAATTTCAGAAAAAATGTGCGATTTAATTAATTTTTTTTAATCGATTGACAGCACTAGTTTAAACAGACGATCAGTTCCTTCATTTATTAAATTTATTTTTTGGAACACAAAATGTGAAATGTATTTCTCCTTTGCTTGTCCGTGTAACGAGCATGACCCACTGTGGTAGAATTTTTAATAACGAATTTGTTTCTCTTCAACATCTGATAAGTGTCGACGTGCCCACTGCCCATAGACCTAAGCTGGTCAGCTTTAGGGTTTAGTTCACTACCATTCCTGTGCTCTGCTCATGTGACCACATGAATTCTCTGGATTAGAGATGATGGTGGACTGAAACTTGAAAACTGCATCATCAGCATTACACTGCTTAGAAAGTTAGTTAGCAGGACAAGAGGTTCAGCACAAGGCAATCCCCCATCGGTTTTCACTGCTCACTTTCTCATGGTGTCCTTTCCCTTCACTGGTATTAAAAAGGCTGCTTTTAACTGCTTGGAAAAAGCAACTTCATTTATATTTTTTCATTTATATAATTTTTTTTTTTTTTATTTGTCACGTTTTTCATTTTTATAACCACCTCTCTTCAGCAAGTTGCTGGATTTGTGGTATCGTTCATATTTGTAGCACAGAAAGTGTAGGACGACATGCATGTAAAAGCTTGATACCTGGGGTTATTTGATTTGAACTGAAATGATCGCGCAATGTCACTATAGAATCTGAACTCATAGCCACTAGATGGCAGCAGTGTTAAGAAGAAAAAAAAAAAAAAAAAAAGGATGGACTGGAGTCGTGTGGATTATCAACGTGATCTCATGATAATTCGTATGTATTTTACGTAAAATGTGGTTCTATAAAACGTATTTACTTACGTATTTTAAGCCTCTAAACGTACACATACTTACGTATTTTCAGCCTCTAAACGTACAAATACTTACGTATTTTCAGCCTCCAAACGTCAAACTAAATGGAAAAAAAAATTGTGGCATTTAAACTAGTGGTGTCAAAATTAGCGCGTTAACGCAGGTGATTAATTTCAGTTTAACGCGTTAAAAATATTTAATGCAATTAACGCAGGGGCAGGAATAGGTTTGGCCACCCCACTCACAACAGCTAAAGAATTGCGTTTATTTGAGACGCAGAACGTCTTTACGACCACATAAAACGGGAGACTTTTCAGACTCGCACTCCAACTTCACTTCGGCACCAGGCTTGCTGAAGGGCACAGGTAGCAATATGACATTTATTATAATGGGTTTATGTAAAGATTGTTTTAAGTTCACTTAAATTAGAAGTTATTTTTAATGTTAAATTGATAGCTCTCAATTATACTGTAATGTTGAATGGCTATAGTCAATGGTTAAATATTAGGAAAAAAATTAATAGAGACATCAGCTGGTATCAGTGATACTTGCCTTCAGTCATTAAACAAATATTAAAAATATACTTTCATCTTGTTTCTACATCATTTTAAAGATTGAATGTGAAATTATTGCAATATAAAAGTATAATTAAAAACTTTAATGTTAAGTGTGATTAATCGCGATTAATTTCAGAAAAAATGTGCGATTTAATTAATTTTTTTTAATCGATTGACAGCACTAGTTTAAACAGACGATCAGTTCCTTCATTTATTAAATTTATTTTTTGGAACACAAAATGTGAAATGTATTTCTCCTTTGCTTGTCCGTGTAACGAGCATGACCCACTGTGGTAGAATTTTTAATAACGAATTTGTTTCTCTTCAACATCTGATAAGTGTCGACGTGCCCACTGCCCATAGACCTAAGCTGGTCAGCTTTAGGGTTTAGTTCACTACCATTCCTGTGCTCTGCTCATGTGACCACATGAATTCTCTGGATTAGAGATGATGGTGGACTGAAACTTGAAAACTGCATCATCAGCATTACACTGCTTAGAAAGTTAGTTAGCAGGACAAGAGGTTCAGCACAAGGCAATCCCCCATCGGTTTTCACTGCTCACTTTCTCATGGTGTCCTTTCCCTTCACTGGTATTAAAAAGGCTGCTTTTAACTGCTTGGAAAAAGCAACTTCATTTATATTTTTTCATTTATATAATTTTTTTTTTTTTTATTTGTCACGTTTTTCATTTTTATAACCACCTCTCTTCAGCAAGTTGCTGGATTTGTGGTATCGTTCATATTTGTAGCACAGAAAGTGTAGGACGACATGCATGTAAAAGCTTGATACCTGGGGTTATTTGATTTGAACTGAAATGATCGCGCAATGTCACTATAGAATCTGAACTCATAGCCACTAGATGGCAGCAGTGTTAAGAAGAAAAAAAAAAAAAAAAAAAGGATGTGGTCTGTTTGTCTGCAGGAATGTACCTGATATCAAAGTACATCCGTGAGAAGACGGACAGCGTTGTGATTTTCTCAGGTGAAGGTTCGGATGAACTGACACAAGGATACATCTACTTTCATAAGGTACGTGTTATTGTATGATCACCTTAAAGGTGCAATGTGTAATATTTACAACGATCTATTGACACAAATGCAATATAATATACATAACTATATTTTCAAATGTGTATAAAGACCTTACTTAAAGGGGTCATATGATGCGATTTCAAGTTTTCCTTTCTCTTTGGAGTGTTACAAGCTGTTCGTGAATAGATAAGATCCCTGAAGTTGCAAAGACTGAAGTCTCAAATCCAAAGAGATATTCTTTATCAAAGTTAAGACTCTGCCACAC